CAAGGGGAAACAGCTGATTTTTGAATTTCTCCGATTTTCGTTGATTTTCACTAATTTCATAGATTTTCACCAAATGAAAAGTCACTGAAAATGACTGGACGTCATTGGAAATCACATAGAACCACAGAGAATTACTGAAAATCGATTAATTTTGGATGATTTTCGACTGATTTTGAGTTGATTTTAATCAGCTGTTTCCCCGTTGACAAAATTCCATGCAATAGAATAAATAATGACATTTATTTTCGTAATAAAAGACAGCAAATGTCTTGTTTCTATAGAAAATGACAAGTGTGCACGATATAACATATATGCACAACTAGAAACATATATTTCTTTTATATGATTCAAAACATAGTGGTATTATTATGAAATTTTTGTCTGACAATTCAGAATATAGAGAATCATTCGCATTTTCTATCGTTATGCTCGATTCAAAATGACATAGTGTCATAATGGAAAAATGCTATTAAAATTCCTAATACAGAAAACAAGGTGTAGAGCTTTTCTTTTTAGAGATTTTTAATATTTAAGGGTTATACCCATATTTGGGAGAAAGTCTCGCTTCTAAAACAAGTCACGGTAACCGCTACTGATGTAAATTGTTCGTTAGACAATTTCAACATAAAAATTTATCCTGAGTGAAACATAAAAAGTAGAAGAAAATACTGCATCTTTTAAGCTTAGTATGAATGATTGAAAACCATTTTTGAATCTTTTTTTTTTAAAAAGGAAAAAACTTCAGATATAAAACTTGCTCATTTTATCGGAAGTACTCATTATTCTAACTAAATATCCTTGTTTTTTTATAGTGCCTATAATCATCTATGTTAGTCCTACCTGCATGTGGAACGTAAATAGCTGTAACCAGCGGAACCTCCGGTGCCTTGTTTGTTTCCAATTTGTCGCTGAACGAGGATGAGATGACCATCTAAAGAGAAGAGAGAAATTACATAGAAACATGTAAGACCGTCACGAAAGAGATGTACTTACAACGCCATTTCGTTATCAGAGCATCAATATCCATTAATAATGATATTATTTGATAGGGTTGTTGAAATCTTGGTTGTTCACGATATAATGATATCATTAATGCACCTTGTATAGCGCGCTGACTTATACGTCTTTCACCACGTTGAACAAGTTGATTATGAAATTTTTCATCAAATAATGAACGAAATGTATCAGCTGTCTTTTTAACATCTTCCAATGATGCATCTTTTGCCGTAGGATTTGGTTCATCCTAATAATAAAAAAGTTTATATCAAAAATAGAACACAAAAAACATATAAAAAAAATGACTACTGGTAACATTGAGTGAATTACACAACTTCAATCGTTGTACAAAACATAGACACAAAACAGTGAATTTAGTCTTTGCAATTTACTGCAAAGTTAAGTTCATATATTCGAATCTCTATTCATACAAAATTGATTTGTTGTGTTTTTCGATAGTTTCAGTTTAGAATACTATAATGAAATAAATATATTCCGCTTGTATTCTGACAGAATAAAGTTTATATCAATAAAAAAAAATCGTCAGAAGAATATATTGATTTGAATTGAGTCCTACCTCTGCATTTGTTTTTAAGAAATTCAAATATTCTCCCACTGATGTTTTGAAACGTTCCCAAAAATTAAATGTGGTATCGTCAAGACCTGGTGTGCGTTCAAGCCATCTCTAAAAAATATTATTATTAGATGCTATTGTTATTTTCTTAGAGCATTTCAACTTACTTCAATTAATTGTAATAGCGTTGGAGTTTCCACAGAATTTTGTAATTCATTTCTATCGTGTTCATTCGGAAATGTATTCATATAATGAGTAGCATTATGTTGTATTCGCGATTTATCGGTTAAACCAAATTTATTTTCAATTAAACGAAATTGTAGACTTTGAAAACCACTTGCCGGTGATAAATATGAACGAAATTCCATAAAATCTAGAGGCGTCATTGTTTCTAAAATGCCAATTTGATCAACTAATAAACGCCATATTTGAACACAACGATTTAAACGATTAACAATAACAAACATCTGAGATTCATCCACTTTTTCTTTGTCAAATATTTCACGAATAGAATCAATTTCATATATAATTTGTTTAAACCACAATTCAAATGCTAAACAGAGAAAAATGTATATGATAGCTTTTCAATTTTATCCAAGATAAATAATTTATATATTCTCAACAATCTCTAATATTGTTCAGTAATACATTGCAAAAGTAGTTTACTTTGATGTATTATGATAAATAAATGTTCATCATGTACAGCTGTTTTGTTAATATCATGTTTAGCACTCATTAATATTTGTGAATCTAATATGGTATGTAATCGTAAATAATTATTGTATGTTACTAACTCATCACTGGATGGTAAACGTTTTAATTCGGGTTTTGCTGGTCGATTAGCAAAGCCAGTCATTGATATTATTTCAGTCAACGCATCACTAGATCCTGTTGTGCCATTAACAGTTAAGTTTGACGAAGATGTAGAATTCGACTCATTTGTTGGTTCAGGTTCGAGAAAACGTGCATATGGACAAGTCATCGCTATTTATAGTCTAGAACAACAAAGAAATTGAGAATATAAAATTGTGTCTCATCGTTCACCGACAGAATCTCTCTGATGAATGGTAGTGTTCTTAGCATTTATCGCAGATTTAGAAGAGACAAAAAAAATCGATTAACTAGTATTCTCATCCTGGGAAAAATTAACTAGTATTCTTCTTATTCTGGGAAAAATACTATGGAAGATTTAGACAGATTGTATATTTTATTACTGTTAGTATCCACGCCACTTCACTTAAAAATATTTAAAAATACTACTACTGATAATCTTGAATGAATTACACAACTTCAATCGTTACAATATTAAATATAGACACAGAACGATGAATTTAGTGTTACAGTTTACTGCAAAGCTAAGTTCATGTGTTCGAATCTCTATTCGTACAAATTAATTTTTGTATTTTTCGATAGTTTTAGTTTAGAATCCTATAATGGAATATTTTTCTGCTTGTATTCTGATAGAATAAAACTTATACAAAAAATGTTTTAACCAACTCACTTTATTATAACGGCTGATT